AATACTATAGGGTGGTTACAAACCTTGCCATACCATTGTAAACAAGAGTAATTCTACAATATCAAATTGAAGAGTACTGACAATCTGGGTCCCACAGGGTGATTGGTACTGGCAATTATACTATTTATTATCTTCATTAAGGATCTGGAAGATAAAGTAAGCTGTAGCTTCAATATGTTCTCAAACCATATGAAACTAGGCAAGACTGCATGCTCACTAACGGAAAGATTTTTTATAAAATACTGTGTAGAATGTTCTGGAGATCTTTTAAACAGATGAGCAATTTAAAATGGTCTGAGATTTAATTTAGATAAATGTGAAATAATAGACTAGGGGAGAAATTAACATTCAGTCAAAGTACAAAATGGGAGAAAGTTTCTGTGTAAAGCAAGTGTTGAATTTTGGGAGTGATGGTGGATAACAGATTGGACATGTTCTTCTAATACAGTGCACCTGCAACAAAGACCAGTGCTATCCTGCGATATGTATATCTTCTGAAGGGCATGAGCAAGAGCTAGTAGTACATACATAATTTCACAAATACTTATTCTGTCCATAGTAGATGTAATTGTCCAAGCTCAGTGCTTCTCAGCACTTAAAGGATTTCTTCCAGCTTCTTCTTTAAATAATCACCCCCTTCCACCAAATCCCCCTCCTCAAAACAACCAAACTCCAAAATATTCATTGTCAGCAATATGGCTAAGGTAGCTGCATAGCACTTGCCATATCAGATCACACCAGATGCATATACTCCAATAGTCCATGTGAGATTCTGTGCTGTACTGCTTAGAAACACAGCATAGAACTCATAGCCCATGGTGAAGAGGAGATGAGGTGGCTTTAAGCCACCTTTGCACCCTCCCATTTATGAGCTGCTCCATGCCCCACCAATGAAATTTAGACATCTCTGGGGGGCTGTCCAAGATATGACAGCCTCTCCCCAGCTGCCTATGGGTCACATCACTGCCCAGAGTCTCTGCAATGCTATGTGCTGTAGGGACCTTCTCTCTCCAGTATGCCCGCTACACCAGGGCTTGTCCTTGGCAGACAGCCATAAGGCTGTCTTCTGCTGTCATGTGTTGGGGGAATCCTCCCCTACCAGGAATTAGTTTTTACAATCCTTTACATCACTTTGACCCTTTTACCTGGTGTAAAAGTGCTAGAGTGGAGGTGAGAGTCCCACCTTCTGTCTCTGACCATGACGGTGCTCCAGAAGAAGTTGCAAGAAACCCTATAGTAGGTAACTATGGAATAAACAGCAATAGGAGTGGTTTCTTACTAACAACTTGACAGAGAGAAATTTCTATAAGAAAAAACTGAATTTTTACCCTCTGCTGCTTGAATAATCTTTATTGTATTCATAGGAAGTTTTCAGGGCTCTGAGCCTTGCCTAGATGCAATAGCAGAATATAGTGCAGATGGTCACTTTAGGCTCTTCCTTCTCATTACAAACACTTGTCGCAGGTGAGGGACATTAAAACAAGTTTATTCTTGTCGCAGGTGAGGGACATTAAAACAAGTTTATTCTTATCCCAGCATTAATTTTTAGAACCAAGTATGAACAACAACATCAGGGAATTATAAAGTAGGAGTGAAAATACTGATGGTTATTTTTCAGACAGAAAAAAAGCCACTTCATTTTTAAAGCAAGAATGGAAGAAGAAATGTGCTCCTATAAGGTTTAGAAACCATTGAACTGTGTGAGGGGTGGGGAGGAAGTGTGGGAAAGTGAGTTCATACAAATGAGCTTTTTGTCCCAAGGAGGCATCCCCTGAGCCAGATTTTCTCTCTTTCTTCCCCTATCTGGGGTGATTATTCTAGCTCTTCCTTTCAGTTATCCCTGCCAAACTGCTGCAGAACTGAGAATGAGTCATGAATGGGTTCCTTTAGGAAATGCTGTTGTCTCTCTTCCCCTCTTATTGATCACTACAGAGGTAGGAAGATCATTGGCTTGATGGTCCTTTCATCTCTTTGGGTAACAGAGATCCATTTTGGATCTTTCCCTTTGTGCTTCTTGGCCCATTCATTTTCTCACTGACTGTGAGATATGTTTGAAGCTGGAGAGCTCAGATTTGACTGAGCCAGGATTTGGGCCTATAACCTTAATATCTACTTGGACCAAACTTCTCTTTTCCCTCACATTCCCTTTTCTCTGTCTTGAGATGACGCCAAGAGACAGATTCATCTGCTATTAATTTGACTTATTTACATTTTATTTTCATGCTCTTTTAAATGGAAAGAATTTTCTGTGTGACATTATTACAAAATTATGTTTCCTCGTGGTTTTATTGTTGTCATTATTGGAAACTGTCCTGTGCCTATTAGCTTCTTAAATGCACTATTGTCATGTTATTTCAGTCAGCTGATAGTGAAGTGAACTAAAGTGTACTAAGCCTTAATGTTTTGGGTACTTGGCATCTAGTTTAGGAAAATCCTCACCACATCCTTTCTTGGCTCAGTAGTTCTCCACAAGTGTGTTGCTCATGATACAGTGGTATCATATGCAGGGTAAGGACGGGAATATGCTTGTTTACACAGCCTTGATATGGCCACTCTTGAGAATATATGGATTTCAGCATCTCATTATGCTAATGACAGATAAATGAGAGAGAATCTCGAGAAGAGAAACAAACATGATAAAAGGATTAGAAGATCTGACCTTGATGAGAGGTTATGGGAATTTAACATGTACAGCTTGAGAAAAGGAGACCGAGTGGAGGATATGATAAGAGTCTACAAATATTTGAGAGGTAATAAGATAAAGGAAGAAGAGGGATTATTTCCAGTGCTTGAAGCAGCATAACAAGGAACAGTGCTTGAAATAGAAAGAATGTAGGTTAGACCAGTTCTGTATGGCATGTGGATCTAGAAAGGCACAAAATCCCTGGGGCAGACCAGAGTTCCTCTCTCTCTGCCTGCTGCCATACAACATAATTGGAAGTATATGGACTAGAAACACCAGGCTTCGTCTCCATTTCTCCAAGCAGCCAGGAAACTGAAAGCCCAAGAGAGAAAGGAAAAACAGTGGGAGTGTGTCACGCTGATGGGGTGTTAGACCAGTCCAGGGAGCATAGGCTCAGAAGAAGAGCTTTGAGCTATGGGAGAAATGAAAGGTTCTGTGTGATAGGGCCCAGTTCCAGAACCCCACTTACAACTCTAGGCGACTCCTGAGTTTGGGGCAAAATACGTGTTCTAGGAAAAGAGGTCAGTTTGTTCTCAGAGAGCCAACAACCAGTACAGTCTCCTGGAAAAAATGCTCTTAGCCTTTTGGGCTACTTAATCAGAAAACAAGGCTCACAACTGTAAACAAAATAATACAGTTTGGGGCCCTCTCATGGAGGAAGCAGACCATTATTTCTCTCTAAAGCAGCAGCCACTTTCAGTCCAGTTTTCCCATTTACATCTGTTCCTAGTAAATGGGTTTAGTTCCCATCCTTTGAACACTTGAGGGAACTACTCTGGGTCGTATGGTTCTACTCACTGAGGCAGGCATTGCTTGCTTCTATAAAGGGTAGTGGAATGTGGGGGAACTGTGACCTTGAGAGCACGTTTTTGGGTTCCAAATGGTCCATCCAACCAACACACCCTGGATCCCCTCTGACTGTCCAGTGCAAACAAGCTACTGTGGGTAAAGCAATGAGCAGCTTCTGTAATACCATCTTCCTTCCTTGCTTCCTTATATAATTGGTGATCCATAATACATGAGAACTATAAGATCAGGAGGCAACTTCTTAGCTCAAGATTTGGATCTCTGCTCTTTCACCACACAACTCAGCTACAGAGCTCCTTGAGGAAGGGGCCATCTTTTTGTTCTGTGTTTGTACAGTGCCCAGCACAATGGGGTCCAGGTCCATGATAGCCTCATCGGTGCTACGGTAATATAAATAATCATAATAATAGTGTGCATATGTCCCAGGCCCACAGAGCTACCAGTTCTCCACCCTATGCATCATGTAGCATGGGGAGAACAGTATTAGGAAGCAAAGTAGAGAGGGGAACAAAACCCAACAATGAATAAAAAAAAATTGGGGGACAGAAGAAGATAAGAAGACAGACAGACAGAAAGAAAGAGAAAGGAGGAGGGCTGAAGAGAGACAGGGAGTAGGCAGAGCATTTGTACCACAGTGTGGTGTGAGGCGGTGAAGTGGGAGAGCCTATTCACCAAACTATTGCTCTCTGACCAAAATATTTTGGGAACCACTGAAGCAGGCCTTGCCATGTACCCTGAAAATCAACAAACTTGTGCTCTGTTGGATCAAGGGGAGAATACAGTTCCAGTCACAGACCCCCCACTAACTTTATTATTAGCTTTCAATCAGCACTTCTCATCAGTAGAGCTCAAAGCACTTTACAAAGGAGGTCACTATCATCCCCATTTGAAAGATGGGAAACTGAAGCAAAGGAAAGTAAGTGGTTTGCCCGAGGTCACTCAGCAAGTATAGAACATAGGTCTCCTGAGTCCCAATCTAGTGCTCTATCTGCTAGATCGCACTGCCTCTCACAGTGTATAGATTTGGGAATTATCGACATGAGTGTCCTAGCTGACATGAGTGTCTATTATTGTGCAATTGCACGACAAAAAAAGCTGGTCTCCAAAGTGCACAGTTGAACCAGCCAGGTTGAAGTCTATGATTCCATAGTAATTTTTACTAATTTAATTATGTGCAATTTTAATTTCGTTTAACTTGATGGGCTCTATATTAATTCCAGATAAAGAACTTTATATTCAAGCGTTAGGGGAATGCCCTTCCATTTGACTTCTATTCAAATGATTTGTCAGTTTTTTCAAGGGTTATTCTCAAAACTCATTTTTTGTGGTTCTTTTCGCTTGTTATTACATTTTTATATTTTTCTTGTGTGGCACTGTGATGTTTGTGAATGTCATGTTATAAGTCAGTCAATAATATTAATAGTTTGCAAATCCTTTAAAACATTAAATGAATAAAATTGGCATTGCTAGTAGTCAGTATAACTTACTTGTTTTTACTTTTTTTCTTTAGGAATGTTGTCTCTGCAATTTGAGAGGTGGTGCACTCAAGCAAACTACTGACAAGAAGTAAGTGATGGATACACTGAGATCAGTCTCATTAGTTTTAAACTTCATTTACATACATACTTACACAAAGAGAACTTCCAAATATAATTACTTTACAGTTTCCCCTTAAGTGGAATAGCTTAATGTCCAGGGCCCATTGAAGACAATGAATCGTGCCTCTGGCATTCTGTGAACACACTTATGTGCTTACAAATAAACATTTGTTTTATTATTTGAACATTCTTAACTATTCTAAACTCTGCTCTGCTGGTCACTGTATAAAGGAAGCAGATGAAAGCTCATTTGTCATTGTTTGCATGGGCAAGCCTTATCACACATTCAAATGTATTTTCTTCTTTAGTACTGGAATTTTGTGATTACAGAAGTTAATATGGCATCTGTGAACTTTTGACAGATATAAGCATGTCATTAACAAATTAATCAATCTAAATCCTTTTAGAATGGCTCTGGATCTTGAGGTGATTTGTTTTATTGCACTTACATTTTATAATGGACTCCCAAAAAAGGTACTGTAGCTGATATCATGCCATTAATACAACTAATATTTATTTTATATAGTGATGATAAAATGAAGCACAGTGCATCAGATATTCTTGGGAGATGAAATGGAAAAAGTTGTGCTTTAATATTTGTTCATGTCCAGTTGTAGACAAATCTACTATTCATTTTGAATCTTTGCTTGGCATAATTCATGCCACATTTCGTTAGTTACACCTGACTTTTTTCAGTAAAACCCTTCTATGGTCAAAGAGTATTTAGCACAGCGGTGGCCAACCTGAGGCTCCGGAGCCACATGCGGCTCTTCAGAAGTTAATGTGCAGCTCCTTGTATAGGCACCGACTCCAGGGCTGGAGTTACAGGGGCCAACTTTCCAATGTGCCGGGGGACGCTCACTGCTCAACCCCTGGCTCTGCCACAGGCCCTGCCCCCACTCCACCCCTTCCCACCCCCTCCCCATAGCCTGCAGTGCCCTCACTCTTCCCTCTCCCCCCTCCCCCTCCGAGCCTTCTGCACACCACAAAACAGCTGATTGGGAGGTGTGGGGAGGGAGGGGGAAGCACTGATCGGCGGGGCTGCCAGTGGGTGGGAGGTGCTGGGAGCGGGTTGGGGAGCTGATGGGGGGGCTGCTGACATATTACTGTGGCTCTTTGGCAATGTATGTTGGTAAGGGCTCCTTCTCAGGCTCAGGTTGGCCACCCCTGATCTAGCTAAATGATACAAGATCATGTAGCCCAAACTTACTTTATCCTGGCTCCAGTCCTATTCAACATTTTTATTAATGACTTGGACAGTGGAGTGGAGAGTAAGCTTATAAAATTTGCAGATGACACCAAACTGGGAGGGAGGGTTGCAACCACTTTGGAGGATTATAATTCAAAACAACCTTGACAAATAGGAGAATTGGTCTAAAATCAACAAGATGAAATTCAATAAAGACGAAGTGCGAAGTATTACTCTTAGGGAGGAAAAATCAAATGCACAACTACAACCTGGGGAATATCTGGCATCAGGGGTTCTCACAACAAATTTTTTGGTGGCCTCAGAGTGTGGCCACCAACTCTCGCAGGTGGCCATTCAGACAATTTTCCCTTAAATACTTAACTAACTTTAGGAAAAACAAATAAATATGCACATATACATGTCCAAATCATTTTTGTAATTTATTTATGTAGGGTTTTTTGCAGACTCAATAATAAAAATAATGTACAGTTGTTTCTATTCTTTACTGGACCTAAACAGACTAGAAACACAAATAAGGTGCTTTGCATGTTCTTGCCTTTTTTTGTTGTGTTTCTTTTGCTTTTTTGGTTGCTTTTTTTTAGACTTGCTAGCTAGTAAGTCTGCTGCTGTGAAAAGTGATACTCGTATGTTAATATCACTTTTCCCAGCCTCCCAGCCAGCTACTAAGGCTATGTCTACACTACAGACCTTACAGCACCACAGTTGTACCGCTGCAGTTTCACCGCTATCAGGTCTCCCATGTAGCTGCTCTATGCCGGTGGGAGAAGCTCTCCTGCTGGCATAATTAAACCACCCACAATGAGCGGTGGAAGCTACGGTGGCAGGAGAACGTCTCCCACCGACATACTGCTGTCCACACCAGCGCTTCTGTCTGTGAAACTTTTGTCGGTTGTGGGAGTGTTTTGTTCACACCCCTGACCAACAGAAGTGCGAGTGCAGACATAGCCTTAGTCTGCTGTGAAAAGTAATATTAACACACATACAAATATATCTTTTCACAGCAGACTTACTCAAGCCTGAGGGAAAATTAAGCCCTGAATGGTGAGGCGGGTAGGGAGGCAGGAGGCCAGGGGTGATGGTGGGGGATAAGCACAAGGCCAGAGCACACTGCCACTTAGCCAGGAGCCGGGGCTGGAGCCCACCTCTGTGCGGTTGGAGGACAGAGCCCAAAGCCCTGAGCCTGGAGACAGACACCAGAGCCTTGAGATGAAGCCTGACGTCCTGTAGCTGGAGACTGCCACCCGCCATCCCAAAGCTGAAGTCTGATCCCACCACCCCCGGGCAGGTGGGGAACTCACGGGCTGGTTGCTCCTCCAGTGTTTGTCCTCTCCACAGGGTATAAGGCTCACCCCCTGCTGGAGGCCCCGAGTGAGGGGCCGCTGCTTTCCGCTCCGTCCCTCCCCACGCCGCAATCATCACCCAGGAGGCTGTGGCCACAAGAAAAGCCCCCGGTGGCTGCATTTGAGAAACACTGGGTTAGGTGGTAGTACTGCTAAAAGTGCCCTGGGATTTGTAGTGGATCACAAATTAAATATGAGTCAACAATATAATGCAGCTGCAAAAAAGGCTAATGTAATTCTGGGATGTATTAACAGGAGTATCATGTGTCAGACATGGGGGGGGGGGGTAATTGTCCCGCACTGGTGAGGCCTCTGCTGGAGTACTGTGTCCACTTCTGGGTACCACACTTTAGGAAAGATGATGTCAACTTGGAGACAGTCCATAGGAGAGCAACAAGGATTTTGAAAACCTGACCCATGAGGAAAGATTAAAAGTGGGCATGTTTAGTCTTGAGAAAAGAAGGCTGGCGGGGGGCAACTGATAATAGTCTTCAAAGATGTTAAGGGCTGTTCTAGAGAGGATGGTGATCCATTGTTCTACACGTCCACTGAAGGTAGGACAAGAAGTAATGGGCTTAGTCTGCAGCAAGGGAAATTTAGGTTAGATATTAGGAAGAACTTTCTAACTCTAAGGAGTAGTTAAGCTCTGGAACAGGCTTCCAAGGGAGGTCGTGGAATCCCCCTCTTTGGAGGTTTTTAAGAACAGTTTGGACAGTCCTGTCAGGGCTGTTCTAGGTTTTCTTAGTTCTGCCTCAGTGCAGGGGGCTGGACTAGATGACTTCTCAAGGTCCCTTCAAGCTCTACATTTCTGAGTCTTTTTCTATAATTTTAGATCTGGTTTAAACTGTCTCCCTAAATTTTCATTTATCACTTGCCTTTCTTATTAAGGTGTTGACAGGTGTAAACAGATAAATAAACCAACAAAAAACAACAAGCAAGATGTCACCTAAATAGAATGCAACGTTGTCTTTGTCTCAGGCACGAGGGAAAAAAGACAAGGTCAAGGGATATGGTTTAATTAGGCCACAACTTTTATTAACTTAATTAATCTGGGAAATATATATTGCAGTAATTCATACATTGCAGGTCATGATTTCTTCTTTAATCATTTCCACCTGATGGAGAGCTGCAGTCACCCTCCCACCCTTGCCCAGCTGGTTCCCAGTGGATTGCTGGGACCCACCCCACTACCTTCACCTCATATCAGGGTTAAGGGGTTGGGGAAAGAGGGTTGTCTCTGTTGTACCAGACATAGGGAGCTCCAGTCCCAGCCAACCTGCTAAATGGTGACAACGTGAGCCATACCTCCTGATCTACTCCACCAGGTTCCTGAGTTGCTCTGTGGAAGATGAAAAAAAACATCCTGCCCCCGCTAATCTGTCAGTGAGAGAAAAATTCTTTCCCAATCATCAAAAAGGCAACTAACTGAAGCCCACAGCAGACCAAAAAACCCCAGTCCTATGCTAATCCCCTGAGAGGGAAGGAGGCTCAAGCTAGAAGGACAGAGTTTATAAACCCTCCTCCAGCCGCTCAGAGGCCAATGGCTTACCTGAGTTCCATCAGCCTGTCCACTAGCTCAGGTGATGCTTTCTTCCCCTCTTGGCTAGCCCATCTTGGGTAATAATGCTGCTGCTTCATTCTGTTCTAACTCTGTGTCTGTTGGCCTAGCAACACAGAATCCTGACACTGTAGCTGGGTACTGTGCTTTGGTATTTGTGTGTGAAATATGGGGGTTGATTAAAAATACCCACTTAGATCTAATTAGGGTTAATCCAAAGTGCTATAGTTTAAACTGTAAATTTTACAAATGACATATTGCATAGGCTATATGTACAAACATTCCTGGCACCACTACAAAAGCTTTGCACTCTGTAAAACAAGTGAAAATACTTGAAAGGGCATTTACAATAGATCTGTGTTAACATAAGGTTTTTTCTCTAATGCTGAAACATACATTTCTGGCAAATATTTTCAAAACTAGATTGCAACACCTTATTAAAAAAATGTCTTGACTAGTTTGCCTCATACATGTAAGTGGTATTGGTGTGGCATATTGTATTGCCATCACTTTTCCAGCATAATCCATTTATTTTGTTGTGCTGATCTTTCCATCTCTGAAATAAACCAATTTTTTACTGTCTAGTGCTACTTAAAATTAAATCTTAAAGATAAACACTGTCAATTGACCTTGCATTTTGACCTTTTTGTTATTGTGCAGCTCATAAAATAAAGCAAAGAAATGTAATAGGGAAGGACTAAATGGTTGATGGTTTGGTTTTATTTGAGGGGTGCACTGTTTTTAATCACATTTCTGTACAATTTTTTGGTGTTATTGACTTGCCACTTTTTGCAGGTGGGCACATGTGATGTGTGCAATCGCAATTCCAGAAGTAAGATTTGGTAATGTCACAGAGAGGACACCAGTAGACACTAGCAGAATACCTTTGCAGAGATTAAAATTGGTGAGTAGTAAGGCTCCATACATTCCTTTCCATTTAAAAATGTGCTGGTGTTTTGAAATATATACGAAGTCTCATCTCTGGTTAGGTACATTCACATATGTTTCAGGGTGAAATTTAAATGTCAGTTAAAAGAGAGAATTTGCCAAGGATTGGCATGTTTTTTTTCACGTATAATGATCATTTAGGTATTTTAATTCTTCAGCCTAGTTCTGGGTTATAACCTTCTGTAAGAGGCCTTTGCCATAGGGTAAAGGAAGGAGAAACAATGAGCATTTGCAACCACTATCCTAATACTGCTGTGACTGCTCATTAAGGATCCTGCTGAAACTAAATAAACCAGAATATCTCAGAATTCTTATTTGTGTTGTATTTTCATGAGGGTTGTGTATTCTCTCCCCCCGGGAACCATTTATGAAGTTAAAATGATGAGACATGGTGGTCTCATAGTATTTTTACCATCCGGGAATTGAGGAATGTGCACAGACCAGATTGCACATTATATTGGACTAATAAATGGCTCCCTGGGGACTTGAAAAAGCAGTGAGAAACACTAACACAAAAGCTTCAACTACAAATGCTCAAACCCATGCATAGCCCCAGATAATCCTTCTGTCCAGCAGAAAGTCCCATGCGCTAGTGAGAAATATACAAAAGCATTTGTTAAATCAAAGAGAATTTTCCCTGTGGGGTTAGACCTAAATTACATAATTTATCAGACTATGTATCAATATTACACAGACTTCCTCTGACAAAAGGAAAGTGATCCCCTGTCCAGTGTAAAAGAAAAGTTTGGGAAACAACCCCATCTGTTCTCTTTATCCACACCAAATGTTATGGAAAAAATGCTTATTGTTATACTTAACCTTGAGCTACCCTTTTCTTGCTGTAACATTGTGAACTATTAATTGTTCATTTTAATTCATTATGCTTTATATTTTGTAACCATTTTTAATTTTGAACTACAGCTTTAGCCATTCTTAAAATGAAGGCATGTCTGACAGTTGGTCTTTGTTCATTGAGATTTCTCAAGTCTTCGTGGGCTTTATAGACTAACTCTGTAATGCATATTGAACATTTTCCTAAACCTTGTGGCTCCCTTATACAGTCTGTTATAGAGAAACTCTAAAACTCCCTATCTAATGTATGAAATATTCCCAAATGCTGTTTCAGCCTGTCCTTACTTCTAGTATGTTTTTTGGAAAACCAGAAATATGGACAATGCCCTATTGTCCTCCCCTTCCCCATTTTCCTGTATCTGGAGTCAGACTTTCTTGTTTCAATACATAGCAATGTAGCCCTATTTCATATGGGTTCTCACTGTGTGAGAGAAGGCTCTCAAAATCTCATTTTTAAGCTACAGTGACTGTTTAATTTGCTTGAGTCAGCCTCAAATTCTCATTAATCTGAATATATGAACACAGGAAGCACTGGATATGAACATAATGCTTGCATACTTTTGAGGAACCTAAACAGTCAGATATGATGGCAATAACTTGGTTGGTGACACTTAATTGAGGGTTTGTTTTCTTGAGACTGTAGAAATGTTAAATTTGCCAAGTATTGTGGGGATAAATAACCCCTATATATGAAGTTCCCTCCTCTGATGGGCTGCCTGTGGCTTAAACCACAGAAGAATAAAAAATTGCTTTGGGAGGAAGGCTTACATTAATTTTAAATAATTGGTTAATGTGTTCACAAAGCCAAAATGTATGAACTTTTGTGAAGTTACATTACTTGCAAGTCAATAGGTCATTTCTGATGATTATAGACCATCTACAGAGCCTTAAACACCTTTCTATAATCTATACAATTATTTTTCTTCTTCCATTAATTTAAGTTTGATCAAGTTTCTCAGTTTTTTTAATTGTCAAAACCTCCTTTAATATATACGCAGCTTTGAGATGCCACAAATTGCATTAAGCTGTGTGTACATTTTTGACCTCCCAGAAATTGCTTAAAGTTTTGAAACATGGTGCATACTTTCCTTAATGCTGTTCTTGAAAACAAAGGGTTTTGCATTTTTGAGTGAGATGGATGTTATAATGAAAGAACTCAACTGAATACAATGAAGATGGGAGCCAGTATATTTTATAGCTGCCATAAATATAGTATTATTTTAGACAGCCTTATTGTGAGTGAGGACTGTACTGTAATCTTGTTTTAGAGCATTAAATCATATCTTTCCCGGTCTTGGTTAATTACATTTAAATTTAATGAATGAGCATTGTTCGTACATCTAATTTGTAAAGTAGTGTATCATACTGTTCACCCTCTGTTCACCTGTATCATACTGTTCACCCTTATAGAAAGATTCTATAATTATTTAACGTCAGTAAATTGATACATTGTTGTTACTTGAGAGGTCCGCAGTAAGGGATTTTCATGGATCTCCATCTTGGAATACCCCCTTCTGGTGTAGGGCAGCCTTTCAGGTGTGGTGGCCACCTTTGTTTTTCCCTTCTCAGGGCTCATCAAGAACACTTCTCCAACACAGACTGGAATATGCGATGGGTTATTTTATTAATATGGGTGAGATTCTGTGGCCTGTGTTGTGCAGGAGGTCGGACTAGGTGATCATAATGGTCCCTTCTGACCTTAGTATCTATGAATCTATAAAATAAAGTTCAGTACCATAGCTGAAAGGGTTCTGGCGCTGCTCCCTTCTGTGAATCCAGGATCCTCATCTGTGTCAATTGACTTTCAGATTGGAGAGCTCTTGGACTTACCTTCAGGGTCCCTACTAAAGTTCTAAAGCTCAAATGAAAGAATAATACAAACAATGTCTACCTGTGCTGGGCTTAATGAAAGTCTCACATCCCTCTTGGTCTATTCCCAGCTCCCTGCCCCTTGTACAGGACAGTAGCTACAGGGATGCTCCCCTGGGCCTTCCTCTTGCTCCAGGATGGTTTCTTGGCAGTGAGAGCCCCACGTCTGATCTCTCTGTACCCTTTTTTGGCCAGCTCTCCATCATGACTTACCCAGTCTCCCATTTACGCCCAGGTGCCTTCTTTCAGGCCCTCTTGGGAGACAGCTGATGGTCATAGGTACAGAGACCTCTTCCTCCTGAAAGGGGCAGTGCCACCCTGTATCGGGGGTAGATGACAACAAAAGGAGTAATTACTTTGAACCCCAACAATCTGTTACTGTTTTTAAAAATTATGATAATTAATTATTGCAAACCAGCCACCATCTTCCGTACTCTGTCAGTCTGGCCCATAGAGCTTATATTTTTTTGTTTTTCCTGTTTGCTGACAAAACTGTTAATTTTGAATTGTAAAGCTTTGGAAACGTACATTTTGAGGTATCTCTGTGCAATGCCAAGTCAAAATTTTCAGAAGGAAATGGACCTTTAGGTGATCTAGTTCTTTTATCGCGTTGACCCTTTTAGTCTAGCTAAGGGGATGGAGTTTGATTATCAGTTCAGTCCTTGCACTCTCTCCCTACCAGTAACAATATTCAAATTGTAAAGGTGTGGTGAGTTGTGCAAAGAGTGGTTCAGGAAGCTATACATTGTGATAGGCTCTCTTTAAGTAAATAGGGTAAGGGAAGTAGTAGTATTCAACTAGCAGTGTCAATGGAGGCATTGCAAGTACAGAAATAAGATCTGGAAAAGTGTGGGCTTTCAGTAGTAAGGGGTTGAACTTTTGCAAGTTGGAAAATTTGTCAACACAGGAAAGAGTTGGGGTCCCAAAGAGGAAAGACCAAGGTAAAAAAAATAGTCAACAAGAGATTCCGCTCTGATGGATCTAGATAGTTAGCCAGCCAATTTGGCATATAGTTTGTGTTTTTTTTAAAAGGGGGTGGGAGGTAGCTTGAAATGAAAGCTAACAGACATAAAGAAAAAAACATCCTTGTATCCCGGAGGATTGATCTGGAAGAAAAAGATGTTTCTGCAATGTTCTGACGTTCTACTACTTCTAGAATGTGTTACAAAAATCCAGAAAATATATAGTTTCCTCAGACTCAAAAGATTTCTGGCCTCTCCTGCCTCTTTATTGATTAAGAGTAAATCTAAATTAGATATTAGTAAATTAGCTGCACTAAAATCAGATTTAATCATCATCATTTTCCTAAAGAGGGATTGCCATTGTAGTCTGAGCTTACCTCTGCTTGAGCAGAGGAAAAGGCAGATGTTTTGCTTATTCTGTGAAAGGTACTCTAGCTTGTCAGGGTTTGAATTTGACTAAGCCAATTACTGTCTTTCTCTAGCATTTAATTATTGTGCTTTTAGTTCCCCTCCCCAACTAGTTCATAGATGTGCTTCTAGTCTCTAACCTCTGCCAAACTACAAAGCGAGAGACAGTTTTGTAAAGCTCCCTTAGCAGAGTATCCCAAACCAACCAGGTTCTCTTGCACAGCATCACAATGTGCTGTTTTTAATGATGTGTGTGAGTATGGCATTTTTGGTTGTTTGTCGGTTTTTTAACAATTACATTATTTTTTAAATCCTGTATGCTGTCACACAGGAAACTTGGATTTGATCTCAGGCATGGTCTCTTGCTTCTTGACAAGCTGGAGGTGGCAAGACCTTGGATATGCATACTCTCAGTATCATTGCACATATGTCAGATCCTTCCCAGCTCAAAACCCAAAATATCAACCTTATCTCAGTCCTCCTTCCCCACTGGTGGTAAACTTCTGACCTTACAAAATACTGATTATATCTGCTGCTTGCCTTCTCGGACCCCCAGGAGTCATTTCATTACACAAATTCTTTTCCCCATTTTCTGCTTCTTTCCTCTGGGAATGGTGTCATCTCTTCCTTCCCTCCCCGCCTGGCACTCCCATTCTTGTTCTCCACTGCTGTTACTTGTCCCCCCGCCACTTCTCAACATGCCCAAACTTTGAAGTAGACTTGCCCAAACTTAGTAGTTGAGGCCAACTCTCCTATCAACATGTCTATAAAAGCACATGATGGTACAAACCCTAAAAGGCACTCTCCAGAGATCTTCAGGAGGGTGGATGCTATTGGACCAGTTTTTTCATTCTGAAGTTGTAGG